GAAACATGATCAGAGATCAGAGACTAGGAACACATGTTCTACTGAGTCAGTACAACTTTATTTACACTCTGATGGTTGACGTTAAACTGTGTATTTAAGTGGGGATCCATACGGATCGACAACGGTCCGTTACACCACTAGTCACCAAAGTCTTTAGGATTCAACCTCTGGGGACCATGAATGTCTGAACCAGATTCCACAGCAATGCATCCAATAGTTGTTGAGAGAATTTAGCCGGGACCAAAGAGTGGAGTCCTGCCGCCAATCAAAAAATACACAAAGGAAACCTGTGAAAGACCTTTTTAAAGAACGGCTGAAGCGAAACCGAGCTGCCATTTAACATCTGATGCTGCCTCGTTGGCGGAAATAAGCAGCAGTTCCGTGGCTGCTTGAAGCTCAGACTTCCATCTGCATGACAAAGAGATTTTCACTCGGGCTGCTCGGTGAATGACAGAGGCCCGCTCTGCCATCGCTTCCTGTCTGTCAGCGCTGGATCCCTGCAGGCCGAACGAGGAAGGAAAACAGCCTGTTGGGTTCCATCGCTTTATCTGATCAGCGTTAAACATGCACGTCAATATCCGGCCACTTCTGGTTCTAACATCTGATTTGCTGTGATTTCTTTTTTTTTACCTGGTGTGTGTTTTTGTTTTGTTCAGGCTCTGTTGTTCATCCTGGATCGCTAGAGCGTGATGAGGAGAGGAGCATGCTGGGAAATGCACAGGATTATGAAGTGTTATAGTAGAATTACAGCTGTTGTGATTCATGTCACCTGAAGGCAGTATATAGTGGAAGAAGTATTCAGACCTTATACTTCAGTTAAAGTACCAATACAACAGTGTAGACATACTGTGCTACAAGTAAACGTTACTGAACTAAAAGTACATGTTAAATATATATATAGTTGTACATGTTTAACGTATAAAAACAATGTATTAGTTGATTATCTTTTATATAGAATATATATTTATAGATATTAGTTTTATATAAGTGCTTTACATGGTACAGCAAAGCAGTACCGTTGCGTACAAAACAAGAAATTAAAAAGAACGCATGAAATCAATGATTTTATTAAAATTGAATTAAATTAAAAAAATTGACTAACATGAAATACATTAAGTGAGAAATAGTACTCAAATGGACTAGACACAGATGTAGTAAAAAGTTGTCCTAAATGCAACAAAGGAAGCACAATACATCATATTCATGCTTTATATCTTTACATCATGAGAGAAAGTGAAACCTGTTCGTTAGTGATGCACAGCACTGATTGAGACGTGACACTAGTTAATCACCTCATTATGAGCTCATTATCATCAACTGTTGATTCAGAATAACCACTTAGTGTGCAAACAGCAAATAACGTCAATGAGATTAACTATACGTCTGATGTTTCATAATTATCATTAAAGTAAAACCAATGTGTTTAATTTAAAGACTCAACACAATCGTATATATATTACGGTGTTTACTGCTCCATCAGGTTAGAAAGGTGCCTCTGCAGAAGAGACACAGAGACGTATCAGGTAGCTGAAGTGGTTGTGTCTCTGTGTGTGAGCGTACAGTCGTCTCAGTGAACAGCCTGCGGCGACGCTTCCTGAGCAGAGACGCATCACCATCACCATCTTCATCTTCATCTTCTCACCAAACATTTCCAGGATTTAGAGCCAGAGGACCAAAGATTCTTCCAATTCTCACAGCCGAGAGAGAGAATGCTTTTAATCACTACGTCTGAGTCAAAGTATCAGATGAAAGCAGAAGACTCAAACAAAGATATAAATAATCATTGTCTATCTGTTGATTTGACCGACAGACGGAGCTCTCAGGGGATTCTTTCAACACAGATTTTTATTTTGTCACTTGAAGTATTTTCTCACAAACGATCAGCCTGTAAAGGAACGAACCCGAGCAGCTGTTCAGGTTTGATTCACCGTGTTCACGTTCACACTCACAGCGCGCTAATGACGCTAAACAGAATAAAAGAACAAGGTGTTAATGATGCCTCTGAATCATGTCTCTCGTTACGGTGTGACAAAGACGGAGATGTTGTGAAATAAGTTGATTTTAGCTCAAAAATATTCTTTTAAATGCCAAATGAATTATTTAAATATCATGAAACGAATATCACATGAGGTGAAGATGGAGATCTCTCAGGCGAGGGTGAAGGACCAAATGTCACGACAAGAAGCAGGAATTAAAAGATTGATGATTGTTACAAGTCAGTTTTTCTGGAGGGCAACATGTGAAGAACGTTTATGCTTTCACTAGTAATGTGTACCGCATTGTGTTGTAGGTACAACAGTTTCATTTCTTCTAACGTTGGCTAGATAGACTAATAACGTAGTGGGATGAATCTCCTTCTGTTCAAACCTCTGATATCTGACGTTGAAACTGTAGATAAGTTGAGATATATCGGTCGGGCTGTTCTCATGTAGTGTTCGTAGATATCCCACAAAAACAATTCTTGCATAATCCGTAGTCATGATTGGGGGAAGTATGAAGTCTTTCATCCAGGAGGCCGCTGCTCGTTCTAACTAAGTATTTCATTTCAAAGACTGTATTCATGTAACAAGCAGAAGTGACTCGTGTTGCTGGTCTTTCGTAGGACGAAGCACTGAGAACGTTTTGGTAAGATATCCTACGATACGTTTGAGGACACGTTGGATTCGTGGGAGAACTTTGAGGTAGTTTGGTCTGAAGATAACTGACCGAGCTGAGGAATTGTTCTGTTCATGTGCGACACATCTTTAAAACTTTGGTTGTGAATGCTTTTTGTGGTTTCATGGACAAACTATGCAAATAATCTCGTTATTTTATTTTTGAGGAAGCAAACGTAGAAAGAAGATGTACTTCTTAAAGAGAGAAACTAAATGAATCGTACTGGCTGTTAACCTTGATGATCACTGACAGGAGCTGATGGTCAACCTTTCTATTCAGCCTGTTATCATCAGACTGAAGGTCACCGGTCCTCAGCGGGATTCAAACTCACGCCACGTGTGTCCGGTCTGCTCCTGATAGTCATCAGCACTCTGATGTTGTTTATCCTTCTTCATTCTTCAAAAGAATGTCGTCTGCAGCCAAACCTCAGCAGGCGTCACTCAGACGTTTATCTAACGTCAGCGAGACGTCGTCACAAAACAAACACTCTTATCAGGGCACAAAATGTCTGACTCACGTCTGCTGAGTCGTCACATCTGACGTGTGCAAAGACGTGACGTTAACGGCTGTTAAACTGTGAGTCATGTTCATCGTGATTTAACGAGGAGAGAGCGCTGATTTAAGAGGTTTGGACCTCTGAAAGAAACATTTTCAGTTGTTAATTTGTCTAAATATATAATGAACGCTCACAAACAATCCTTTGAGAACTTGCAGGTGCATCGGTCGGTTTAAGCTGTTCAGAGCACCGGCTCGTGCAACGAAGGGTTATTTTCATCATCGATTAATCTGACGATTATCTTCGCAGTGAAAAATACTCCTTACATGTATTTAATTACAATGAGGGGACATCTTCAAAAAGCTCGGTTAGTCCAAATATTAAACTCTGGATGCAAAAGTGTCCATTCAGTTGTGTTCTGCCGTTCTGCTGTTTATCTACAGAGCTGATCTGTCTGTCTGTCTTCTTAGTGTGTGTGTGTGTGTGTGTGTGTGTGTGTGTGTGTGTTCAAACATAAGTGACAAATGAAGTGGAATAAGTACTTGATTTAAAAACCACACTCACACACAGCAGAGGCATTGGGCCGTTTCTAATCGGGGAATTGAAACTGAGAACATCAGGAGAGAGGGGGGGGGGGGTCAAACGCGTGGGAAGCATATCGTATTATTTATCAGAATCAGTTTAGTCAGTTCAATCATATAATAACTTTATTTACACATAATATATCTTTTATATCGTTCATAGTAGATTATCAGTGTGTCGCTCACGGCACTCGGAGGAAGTAGAACGAATGCTGCAGATAAACATCTTCCACGTTCAGTGTGAACCCGTACGACGGCGTGAAGGTCCGAAACCCCCAAATATTTGTTTGACAAAGTTTTGACAATTTGCATGAAAAAAAGCACAATTAATTCTCAAAAGTTGCTGTTTAATCGCCTGATTGATAATTGAAACTCTCTCTGCTCTTTATAACGGAGGAAACTACACGCTAGTGGCACGAGGAGGAGGACGGGTCCAACAAGCAGCCAGGGGACCGGTGTTCGACACCGCGTAGCCCAAAGTGTTGAGGTTGTGTTGCCTAAACCTAACTCTACCTGGTTATTTTAAGTCTAACCGTGACGTTTATCCTCAAGCTAAGTGGTCCTGTTGCTTTAACTTAACTGTTCTGTTGTTACGTTATATCATCCCAACAAACAAGCCGGCCCGAGCGCCGGAACAGGAAACACGATGCTGTCCCTGTACGTGAAACCAATAGATTTGCATGTTGTGACTATTTCACGAACTGCCGTGAGACTTCGTTGGCTCTGTACGTGATATTTATCATCGGGACTGGAAGCTGGTATCTCAGTAAGGACCTCTGCACGGAGGAGATATATGTGGCTGAATGACTTCAATATTAGAAACAAGGCTCAACGTTTACCCAG